ATCCTTGCCTATGACCCATGGTTTCAGAGATCGAAATATTCCTAAATCTCCTTTGTAACATGAGTGTTGGAGTATCATCTAAGAGAAGAGGAAGCTAGAAGGAAAAATGGCTAAGGGTGTGTGTCATAGCACTTTTGCAAATCTAAAGGGGAGAAAGAAAATGTGATCCCTGCCACAGTTTGTTCTCTTTCTTTCCCTTGTAATAGATTTACGGGTGCAGAGGAACAACTGACTCCATCTATATTTCAATAGTCAATTAGTGCACTACAACTTGTGCAAGTTGAATCTTAATTGGTGTTAGATCAGTATAATATGGTATACTTTCTCTCCATGTTGTTATCTCTATTCTGTTAACCAATAAGATATGAATGTATGCAAACAATCAGAGTAGTTTAGTTAGGTGAGTTAGTTAGGCGATCCCTCATAGCCCAAGGATGATGGTCTTCCAAGTGTAGTGTCTTGACGGTAGGAGGCGTAGGTGGCTGTGGAGCCCTATTGATCCGCTTGTTCTTCCGCAGTGAGTACATCGGATTCCAGGTAGAAGGCAGTCTCAGTCAGAGACATGTTTCTCCCTTTCACCCTCCATTCATGCCTCTTTGATTTCTACAGCATTGCTGGTCACAGCTGACCTCCAATTAGAGCACTCAAGGACCAGGGCTTCCCAGTTCTCAGTGTCTATGCAACAGTTTTTAAAGTTGGCTTTAAGCCCATCTTTAAATCTCTTTTCCTGTCCACCAACGTTACGTTTCCCATTCTTGAGTTGGGAGTATAATAACTTCTTTGGGAGACGGCGATCAGGCATTTGGACAACGTGGCCATTCCAGTGGAGTTGATAGCGTAGAAGCATCGCTTCAGTGCTGGTGGTCTTTGCTTCTTCCAGCATGCTGATATTTGTTCGCCTGTCTTCCCAAGAGATTGCAGGATTTTTCGAAGGCAACACTGATGGAATTGTTCCAGTAGATGAGTGTGACATCTGTAGACAGTCCACATTTCTCAGGCATATAACAATGTTAGGAGGACAATAGCTTTATAAATAAGCACCTTGGTCTCCCTACGGAGGCAAACAATCAGAGTAGTTTGTATAGTGGCTTGTGTGTTGGATAAGAACTTGGACATCAGGGTTCAAATCCCCAATTAGCCATGGAAACCCACTGGATGACCTTGAATAAGTCACACTCTCTTTACCTCAGATGAAGGCAAAGTTTTTACTTACCTGTAAGTAGCAGGAATCAGTGTGCCACCGAGTGATTAGAATTAGTGTTAACCTTCCTGTACATTGCCTCTGAGGCCCCTTCCACACAATATAAATCCCACTTTGAACTGGATTATATGGCAGTGTGGATTTAGATAATCCAGTTCAAAGCAGATATTGTGGATTATTTGCCTTGATAGTCTGGGTTATATGGCTTTGTTGAAGGGCCCTGAGAAAATATTCAGGGCCAAAAGAGAACTTTTCAAAATCAAGAGTTTTAGAATATATAATTGCTGAGGGCAGCAGTGGAAGAAAGGCATTGTTTTGGAAGAATGTACCTTTAAACTGTACATAGTATCACCCAAAATCCATATTCAACTGTGGGATTCCCAAGTATTCATTTTCCCCATTGCTGATGAAATTGTTAAGACCTTGAAACTAAGATCTACACTGTCATATGAAATCCTTCTAAACTGTCATATAAAATCCAGAGTATCCGCTTTGAACTGGGTTATATGGCAGTGTAGACTCAGATAATCCAGTTCAAAGCAGATAATGTGGATTATCTGATCTGATAATCTGGATTATATGGTAGTGTAGAAAGGGCTTCAGTTAGATGTCCCATTACATATATGCAAGTATTCCAAAATCCAAAAATACCTGATATATTAAACATTTCTGGTCCCAATCCTTTTAAATAAAGGATTCTGAACCTGTACTTTTCAACTATGTACATTAGAGGCTGCTTGTAATGCGTTGTGGTTTTAGCATTCTTTTCCTATTTCTCACTCTCCCTCTTCCTGAACATATTGGTAGAAATATAATTTTGTAATTTTGAAGAAAATATGCAAATACTCTTGGGTCTGAGTAAGTCAGTTCCATTTGTGAATATAAAGGCAAGCCTAAATTCTCACCAAAGCATGTGTTCGTAGTTGTTTGTTGCCTTAGGAATCAGTTTCTTATCTCAAGAGCAATCTTTCTTTTTCTGAGTCCAGTTTAATATAGCTCATGAGATTCTTAAAGCTGACCAATTATTCCCCAATGAATAGCTTCTATTTATACATGTCTATCAGGAGTGGAATTTATGAAAGACACATAAGTTATGCAACGTTCTAATGTTTTCACAGTTGTTAAACCACTCCATCTATTTTAATGAAGAGAAAGTGCATATAAGATGTTGGACTCAACAGCTGCCCAAAATGATTTTAGAAAACCAAGGCTCTAATCCAAACAAACCTCAGATAATTTACTGGAAGGAGCCAAAACTTGACTTTTTCTACTTTCCATCATTTTATATATATATCACGAAAAATGTAATTGAAGTGATTTATTGCAATATTTCATTAATTACATATAATAAATTTTAAAGATACACACTTTTAAAATATTATATGTTCTTAAAATGAATTCTCAACCGCTTTCAGTGGTATCAGAAACATCATGTTTGCAATATGGTGAATTTGCCCTGGATTTTAGTGTGAACTTTAAGAGAGACACCTAACATATTGAACTGTATCCCTGAAACAGACTCACCACCTTGGAAAGTTCCTTTAAAGTTAAGACTAAAACTTAGAGCAGATTTACTACGTCACTGAAATAAGAGCTTTAACTTGTCCATCTGCAGTAACATTACCGAATAGACCAGCATTTCTCAACCTGGGGGTCGGGACTCCTGGGGGCGTCAGAGGGTCGTCAAAGACCATCAAAAAACACTATTTCCTGTTGTTCATGGGAGTTCTGTGTGGGAAGTTTGGCCTTTGATTGTAGGTGAACTATAAATCCCAGCAACTACAACCCCCAAAGGAGAAAATCAGTCCCCCCCCCAAACCAAAATAACCCACCAGTATTCAAATTTGGTTATATTCGATATTTGTGTCAAATTTGGTCCAGTGAATGAAAATACATCCTGTATATCGGATATTTACATTACAATTCATCACAGTAGCAAATTTACAATTATGAAGTAGCAAAGAAAATAATTTTATGGTTGGGGGTCATCACAACATGAGGAACTATATTAAGGGGTCACGGCATTAGGAAGGTTGAGAAACACTGAAATAGACTCATTCTATGTAGCATTTTTAGAAATGCCTCCTTTGACCTGCTTTTGTAAAGAGCAGGGGCATATGTGTGTGTATGTATAACAGAGATAGAATCAGCTGTCTTTAGCCAGTTCAGACAAGTGTTATCCTACCTCAGTATTTTTTTTATGTAGACAAATAAGCAGTGTGTCATTTGAAACTGAGGCAGAGCCTGATTACTCAATATGCCTTACCTGGGAAGACCACATAATAATAATAATAATAATAATAATAATAATAATAATAATAATAATAATAGCAATAATAATAGCAATAATAAAAGCAATAATAACAATAACAACAAACAACAACAACAACAACAATAGTATACTTTATTTATATTGTGCTCTATCTCCCTGAAGGGACTTAGGGAAGATTACAGAACACATATATGGCAAACATTCAATGCTGTGAAACAATTGACAAGGACAGACAATATCTATTTACTCACATTACTGTTTTCGATCCACTAAGGTGAGCAGAATCTGGGTTGATGGCCAGGAGCTCACCTTGGCCCGGGCTTGAACTGTCAAACTTTTGATTGGCAAGATTTTCTTCAGCTGGTTGTTAACCTGCTGTGCTAAAGCCCAGCCCACATATTAAATATGATACTCCAGTGAGCAATAATATGTTCTATATTTGAACTGTATCACCCTCCGGCTTTAAAAAGTACATACAATAGTTCATACAATACGACCCTTGTATCTGCCAGACTGGTACTGACATTTTTACTTAAACACATCTGAAAAAAATACCACATTTACTCAAATCTAATGCTCATCTTTTTGGGCTAAATTACCTTCCCAAAATTTGGGTGGACGTTAGATTCACATAATATGGCAATCTCAGTACTAAGCCAAGCCAATAGGGAAAGCTACTTCAGGAGCCCCAGGAGCTCCTATTGAGAGATGTCATCTCTAATTTAATTGCCATGGCACAATGCTATGCACTGCTGAGATATGTAGTTTGTTGAGATAGCAACATTCTTTGGCAGTCCCCATTATTCCAAACTATAGCCCCCATGGCCCCATAGCATTGGGCCAGGACAGTTAAAGTGGATTCATTCTACAGTATAGATGCACCCCAATTTTTGTGTGTGTCAGGAGCAACTTGAGAAACTTCAAGTCACTTCTGGTGTGAGAGAATTGGCCGTCTGCAAGGATGCTGCCCAGGGGACGCCTGGATGTTTGATGTTTTACCATCCTTGTGGGAGGCTTTTCTTATGTCCCCACATGGGGAGCTGGAGCTGACAAAGCTCTCCCTAGAATCCAACCACTGACCTGCCAGTCAGCAGTCCTGCCGGCACAAGAGTTTAACCCATTGCGCCACCCCAATAAAACACCCACATTTCTCAAAATTTCTGCTCAGTTTGTGGAGACAGGTTGTCATACAAGAAAGTTTCTCACATGAAACAATCACTTTAAGCTTTCTTATTATATTTTATCTTTAAGTCCCCTAAGAGTGTTTTTCCTATGTTTCTTTTCCCCGCTCTGGCAATTAGTAATAGGTGTTAAGCAAAAAACCAGGCAGCATATACATACTTGTACATTTTGTCAATTAATATAGTACACTTTTCATCTAATTGTCAGATTTAAGCCTGCTTTTCATCATATTCAAATATTCAATGGTATTCATACTCACTACCATAAGATTGGCTCACCAAGAGTAAGATTTATTGAAACATATAATCATAGTCATGTGTTCTTAGGTTTCCTTTTTACGACAATGAAATGATGAAAATGTAGATAATGTTTTCAAGAGGTGAAATCATTGATTTCATGCCATGTTCCGCTGATCAGATGTTCACATCAGAAAACAGTCCACATCATTTATGAGTAGTGCACAGGCTCTTTTTGGCAGGAACAGAAGAAAGTCTAGCAATACAAAGGTACATTTACTTTTAGAGGCTTGGTTTCCATGGATAACCTGCCTTTGTTTGTAAAACACAACATGGTCTGGCTTTTCGTTAGGGGGGAAAAGACATCACCGGCATAAAGTGGTGCTCTTATTTTGATGAAGCGTGTGTATGTGTGTGTAGATGCATTGGTTTTAATGTTGAACTACGATTCAAAAGACAAGAATTCAAATCCCCACTCAGTTATGAAATTCATTGGGTGAAATCGGGCATGTCACACACTCTGGGCATTAGAGGTAGGCAATGGAAAAAGCACTCTGAACAAATTTTGCCAATAAAACCGGTGATAGAATCATCTTTGGATCACCATAAGTTGGAAACAACTTGAAGGTACATAACAATTATATATACATCTTCAAGAGATTAGGAGCACCAAGTTTGGAATCAGAATAGTTTTCTGATTTGAAGGGTCCAAATTTTCAAACAAATCAAACTGTAGACATAGAAAAATCCAACCAGGACAATATTAAAATGGGCATATTCCCCAAGTGAGGTGGAAGAAGACCATACTGTGTAGCCCTATCTCTAGTGCTACTACATATCAAATTCCATGCACCATACATATAGAGCCAAAACCACCACAATTCTGCACATTTCACAACCTTCCATAGTTGCCGTTCTGAATTGTTTGGAAGCATTTGTGTGTATATAATATGCCAATATCTTCCTGCTGGAGATAGTAATTCTGCACACATGGATGCCCAAGAGTGATCCAAGAAGGGTAACATTCCCTCTGGTCAGAGGCTCCCAGACACTCTAGTCCAGGGGTCCACAAACTAAGGCCCAGGGGCCGAATACGGCCCTCCAAGGTCATTTACCCGGCCCTCACTCAGGGTCAACCTAAGTCTGAAATGACTTGAAAGCACACAACAACAACAACAACAACAACAACAACAACAACAATCCTATCTCATTAGCCAAAAGCAGGCCCACACTTCCTATTAAAATACTAATAAGCTTATATTTGTTAAAATTGTTCTTCATTTTAATGATTGTATTGTTTTTAAGTGTTTTTTGCACTACAAATAGGATAAGTGCGGTGTGCATAGGAATTCATTCATGTTTTTTTTCAGATTATAATGAGGCCCTCCAACAGTTTGAGGGACTGTGACCTGGCCCTCTGTTTAAAAAGTTTGAGGACCCCTGCTCTAGTCCCTACTACACTGCTACATAATCCAGATTACCAAAACAGATACTCTACATTATCTGCTTTGAATTGGATTATCTGAGTCTACATTGCCATATAATCAAATTCAAAGCAGATAATCTGGATTTTATATGGCAGTGTAGAAGGAGCCTCAGCAATGCTGGCTGGAGCTTCTGAAAGTTGAGGTCCAACAACATCTGCAGCCTCCCTACATGAGACCAATTGCGCCATGACTTCCTATTACATTCTGTGAATCAAAGGTTACCATTTTTCATGTTGAGGTTAAATAAATCTTTACAGGGATAGTGTTGCTCACAGGACAGCTATCAAACAATATAATGATGAATGTGTTTGTTTTATACATATAGCTTTAATATGTACTATGTATAGCGGGTCTGCATATTATGTGAGGAATCTATTTCAGAATTCCCTCTGTGTGGTAAATGTTTGTGGAAGCCATCTTAGGTTCCCGTCTGGGAAAGGCAGTACATTAATTAAATAAATAATTGATGCACTTTTTATGTAATTTGGAATCATATCTTTCTTACCTGAAATAAACAATGTCTTCCTGATGAAGCATACCATATAATTGCTCCTGAGTATCTAGAAAATGCTCTGAATGATCTAGAAAGTGTTTTTTTCTACATCATCAGTGTCATTCTACAGTCAGCTTCTAGATGAAGTTGATTATGCAACCACACTAGAGTTCTAGAGAAAACACTTCTCTGGGCATCACTTGGAGCCCTTCTACACTGCCATAAAATCCAGATTATCAGAGCAGATAGTACATATTATCTACTTTCAGCAGGATTATATGAATCTGCATTGCCCTATAATCCAGTTCAAATCAGATAATCTGATTTTATATGGCAATGTAGAAGGGGCCTAGGGTATCCAGAGTGATGGTATTCAAAGTCATTGCATACAAATGAAACCATGCTCAACGAGCTCACACAATAAGTGAGCCTATTGCATGTGTTTTCATGTATTTTTAGTTTTTGAAATTGATTTAAATTAAGTAGTTTCATTTTATTGTAAATTGTCCTCGGAGCTTTGTATGTAGCCACCCTGGAACTCCCATTGTGTATAAATATTTTAAATTAATTTAAAAATAAAAATTAGCCAGTAATGATGAAGGTAAGGTTCATAGGATAAAGTCATGTGAACATTATTGTATGATAGCTAAATTACTGAATCTAGAAATATTTTCCAAAAGAACACGTTATCATTAACTGTTTATTCCATTCTTATTATACTTTCAAGCATAACATATACACACGGCAAAAATACAAACATTTAAAAAATGACTTTAGTAGCAACCCTATCTGAACATATCTTCCTCTATGAACCATTGCGGAGATTAAGATTTTCTGGGGAGGCCCTGCTCTCGGTCCCACCTCTTGTGCAGGCACAGTTGATGGGGATGAGAGACAGGGCCTTCTCAGTGGTGGCCCCTGGCTATGGAACTCTCTCCCCAGTTATATTCAATCAGCTCCTTCCCTTTTAGCCTTCAAGAAGAAAGTTAAAACATGGCTAGGGGACCAAGCTTTTGGAGATTAACTGCAGTGCAATAAATGAACAATGAATCTGTGCAAATGACATTTTGGAATGGCCCTGGACTACGACATTGGATTATGTGATTTTAATAATTGATTTAATTGTTTTTATGTGTTTAAATTCTTTGTTTTTAATGTAGATTTTTTACCAATTGTATGTTTTTAAGGCATTGAATTGCTGCCAATATGTGAAGCCTCTTTGAGTCCTCTTCGGGGTTGAGAAGGGTGGGGTAGAAATATGATAAATATATAAACCCACATCTGTTCATAAATCATATTTCAAATGAATTATATCTTATCCTGATTTTACTCAATATCTAATGGAGCTGAAAGACAGAGAGTTGCCAAATGCCTGTATGGAAGAGTGGAAATTCCATACCACTTGGAACTGAAGAGGTCCGTCTCCATGTCTCGAGATGTCATTACCACTTGGAGCTCCACAGCTTCACTTCTGTGTGTCTTGTTCCAATTGTGAATCTATCAAAATACCAGCATAAAGTTATTTGGAAACTTGAAGAACACTATTGAGTATATAACCATTTAATAATGAAATGTGGTCAACAAAATATAAAACAACAAAAAATATTGTGAGTTAGTTTATAGCATAAATTCAACTATTTGAAGTGAGTAACTGATGCTGTCATTAGAGATCACTGTGGGTTGGTTATCTTCCGGGAACCTCCAACATTGTATCCGAATGCTTGAGTTTCTGTCCATGGCTTTTTAACATAACATACACAGGAAGCTATACTGAGTAAGTGATGGAGGAGGACAAGCAGCTGCTACCATCAAAACCGGAGTCCTTTTTTTCAAGCTCTGTCAGGTGGTGATGGTGTTGACCAAAATAATAAGGAAGTAGAAAAGACATTCAAGATTGGGAAAGGCGTACGGCAAGGCTGCATCCTCTCACCCAACCTTTTTAACTTGTATGCAGAACACATCATGCGATGTGCGGGGCTGGATGAATGCAAAGCTGGGGTGAAAATTGCTGGAAGAAACATTAACAACCTCAGATATGCAGATGACACCACTTGATGGCCGAAAGCGAGGAGGAGCTGAGGAGCCTTCTAATCAAGGTGAAAGAAGAAAGGCAAAAGCTGGGTTGCAGCTAAACATCAAAAAAACCAAGATTATGGCAACAAGAATGATTGACAACTGGAAAATAGAGGGAGAAAAAGTGGAGGCCGTGACAGACTTTGTATTTCTAGGTGCAAAGATTACTGCAGATGCAGACTGTGGCCAGGAAATCAAAAGATGTTTCCTTCTTGGGAGGAGAGCAATGTTCAATCTCGATAAAATAGTAAAGAGTAGAGACATCAGACTGGCAACAAAGATCCATTGCCTAGTCAAAGCCATGGTCTTCCCTGTAGTCACCTACGGAAGTGAGAGCTGGACCTTAGGGAAGGCTGAGCGAGGGAAGATCGATGCTTTTGAGCTGTGGTGTTGGAGGAAAGTGCTGAGAGTGCCTTGGACTGCGAGAAGATCCAACCAGTCCATCCTCCAGGAAATAAAGCTCGACTGCTCACTGGAGGGAAAGATACTCGAGACAAAGTTGAAGTACTTTGGCCACATCATGAGGAGACAGGAAAGCCTAGAGAAGACAATTATGCTGGGGAAAGTGGAAGGCAAAAGGAAGAGGGGCCGACCAAGGGCAAGATGGATGGATGGCATCCTTGAAGTGACTGGACTGACCTTGAAGGAGCTGGGGGTGGTGACGGCCGACAGGGAGCTCTGGCGTGGGCTGGTCCATGAGGTCACGAAGAGTCGGAACGACTGAACGAATGAACAAAGAAAAGACATGATCTTGAAGAGATCGTCTTCAACACTGGTACAGAGATAGAAATGTGGTAGCAGCTGCCATTATCTTCCTTGACTGTCCAGTGGCCCTCCAATACAGTTGCTTCAATCTACAGGGAAAGAACCTACTCTAGTTCTAACTAAAATCTGTTCACAAATACGGAAAACAAAACAATGGCTCAGCGAATAAAAACACTCAATATATATTCAAGTCCCAAGAAAGAAGACAACTGGGATTTCTGTAACCATAAACCCATTGCATTAATTGGGTTGTTGTGAGTTTTCCGGGCTGTATGACCATGTTCAAGAAGCATTCTCTCCTGATGTTTCACCTGCATCTATGGCAGGAAGCTCAGATGTTGTGAGGTCTGTTGGAAACTAGAAAAATGGGGTTTATATATCTGTGGAATGTCCAGAGTGGGAGAAAGAACTCTTGTCTGTTGGAGGTAGGTGTGAATGTTTCAGTTGGCCATCTTGATTAACATTTAATGGTCTGGAAGTTTTAAAGTGTGGCTTCTTACTGCCTAAGGGAATCCTTTGTTGGGAGGCGATTAGCTGGCTCTGATAGTTTCTTGTCTGGAATTAGAATGCAATGGCCTGCAGGGTCATTAAATTCTAATCAAGGTGGCCAATTGAAACACTCACACTTGCCTCAAACAGACAATTGTTCTTTCTCCCATCCTGGACATTCCACAGATATATAAACCCCATTTTCCTAGTTTCCAACAGACCTCACAACCTCTGAGGATGCCTGCCATAGATGCAGGTGAAACGTCAGGAGAGAATGCTTCTGGAACATGGCCATATAGCCCAGAAAACTCACAACAACCCAGTGATTCTGGCCATGAAAGCCTTCAACAATACACATGCATTTCTCATGCAAGTAAAGTCATGCTCAAAATTCTACAATATCAGCTATGCATCAGAAAGAGAGGCAGCTTGTGTCTATAATATCATTGACCAATGAACTCACTCCATGGAATCCATAGTAGCTGTATTGCTGAAACTGACACTGGATCCACCAGCCTCCATTGATTAGAGAAATTTTGTAGACCTTATTCTGAAAATACTTCATAAATGATAGCTAACAGAATACTGCAGCTTGTTTATTCACTGAAACTTGCCACAAGGAACAGACTGAACAACCTTAGTTGGTTAGTGTTTGCTCCAAACATATGTACAAGAGTACCGATAATCTGTAATTAAAGATTGGGTAGGTTTCTGCCTACCCACTCTTTAGCAATATGCTGACTGATTATCGGTTTTCTTCCTTTTAGCAGAAGTGGGGATCATCACAGGTTCCAAAAATTAAAATGGGCACAAATAAAGGCACATATTAATAAAAATCAAACTCACAATAGTGTTATAGATGTTTTATTTTAAGGCATCTTCTAAATATCTACTGGGGGAGTGGGGTGCATTTCCACCCCATTTTGCAGCCACTTTGGAGCAATTTAAATCCAGGGAGAAGGATTTTTGAAACCCGGGGATTGAGAAAATGTCCCCCATAACTGCTAGAGGCACTCAAGGGGCTTTTTTGGCAGAAGTTACAGGCCCTCCACAGTTGCCCACTCCTAGTATGTATATATGACTGAAAAACGTGCTAAGGAAAAGTTGTTGGAGAGATATGGGACCTTTAAAAATTAATGCAAGAAGAGTTTCTTACTATGTCACCTGTGGATCACCTGGCTTGCCCATGAATAGAGAGGTTGTTCATATATGCCAACTTGGTCTCGTTAATGTCAGCAATACAGGCAATATTTAAAGTTATAATTCGCCCATTACACGTACGAAACTAGTGGGACAGAATAGCAGGTCAGATTTTGTATATAAAGAGCTACTGTCTGAGTATGGATTGTGTAGGATCTAAGTAGGCACTTTGGGATTTGGTACAATGCGTGCGTTCATGATGATCATTCGGGGGAACTGGAAGAGGTAAAAGATATCCTGTTCTCTCCCTCGTAAGCGAAAGAATGCTCAAGGCTCGTACTCTGTTGAAGTGTGCATATAATGATCCCTACTTATGGCAAAGATATACATGTGTGGGTTTTCTCTGGGGAATATCTGCTTCCTGATCCAACGTGCCAGATAAATATATTGTGTATGTGGGAAAACACAGAAATGTTTTTACAAAGGAGGACCTCAGGTACTTTAGACCTACATTACTTATGCTAAGAAAGCTAAAACAAAGCCGGGAAAGGTGGCAGTCTGGGTGGCCGACGAAGATACAACCGTCTGATTGTGAACTTGTTGCACTTCATCACTGTTAATAAAGCTCATGTTAAAAAGGGATCAGGTGTCAGCTAAAAGGGAACTTGGTGAAGCAGTGTTTTTAAAATAACCCGAGGGCTAAAACATAGCTGGTTCCAGAAAGGAAGTTCCTTCGTCTCATCTTTCAATTTAATTGGGACTTCCTGGGCTGAAAACTGAGTGTGAGTGTCCGGTATGCTCTTAAGTAATACCAATGCCAGCTATATTTTAAGTATATGTGTTGCAAAAGCAGTGATCACTTAATATATGGATGGCATCATTACTTATTGCTAACAGGAAGAGGGATCATTTTCAGCCTTTGTAAGAATAAGAAAAGAAAGCATAATATTTGTTAAGAAGAAACTGATTTATTTTTTATTTAATACTCAAATAAATCCACTTGAAACTTTGGAATGCAACAAAGCTTTCATAAATGGATAAATAAATCTGAAAAGCAATCCAAATTTTGCAAGTTGAGTAAATTAAGCAAACAAAACAAATGTATAGATATTAATTATTGTTGTGTAATCTTGGTTTTACCAGTCAGGGAGCCATTTGGGACCCCCAAAAAAGCAGTTCAGTGACTCTAGGTTTTCTGAGATTTCTCTAAGCAGCTCTCAAAATGTTTCTACATGTTATGGGTAATCATAAGGAGGGCTAATGGTTGGCAGGGGGGAGGTATATCAGGCCAAATTATGGGTGCCTAGTGATCTAGACAATGGATACCTAGGATTTGACCATGTTGCATATGTTTTTGTCTTTCTCAGCATTATCATTGCATATAATTGCAGTACGGCCCCTGCCCCCCCCCAACCACACATACATTCATACATGGTTTCACCTACCTGCATCCAAAAAACATCCTGTCTGAGGGTACTTCCAGACAGCACTAAATTACGGGTTTTAAACAGTGGCAAAAAAGTCCCAGGACTTCAGAAGATAGAATCATAGAATCAAAGAGTTGGAAGAGACCTCATGGGCCATCCAGTCCAACCCCCTGCCAAGAAGCAGGAATATTGCATTCAAATCACCCCTGACAAATGGCCATCCAGCCTCTGCTTAAAAGCTTCCAAAGAAGGAGCCTCCACCACACTCCGGGGCAGAGAGTTCCACTGCTGAACGGCTCTCACAGTCAGGAAGTTCTTCCTAATGTTCAGATGGATGTTCACATACAGGCCTGTTGGTCCTGGAAATTCTGCCTCCATTGTCCAGATTTGTTTTGTTGCAAGATCTAGAGGCTCTCAAGAAGACCACCACGGGATTTCCACCAGAAACATCAGTAGTTCTTTAAAAAACACCTCAAGATGAAGATGTGCATAGATTCGAATATGTGAATCACTGCAAAACTTTCATTCTTTGTCCTTGCCAGAGAAACTGCCCTTCAGACTTTTCCTAAAGTATTTGCCGCACAAAGTTTACGGGGTAGGACCACTTCTGCCAAAGTCAGCAATCAAACAGGAACACACACTTTCAAGCCAGGAACAGAACTCTGTCATTGTTGACACTGGCTGCCTGGCCATGTGTCCAGACAGATTTGGTTGTGTACTTGTGGCATCAAACAACAGGGTGCTGTTCCTGGGTTATACATGACCATTCCTGTAAAAAGATGTACAACATTGACTAGTGGCAGGGGCACAACTTTGTCCTCGCCAAAGAAAATGTGCCCTCCACACATTTCATGAAATTTCTGGCACACAAACAAAGTTTTTGCCTTCTACTCAAGAATCACCTTTTTAGGAACCTACCAATCAGGAACAAACATCTACACTCCAGGAACAAACACAGATAAAAAATCCCATGATTTCCGATTGCAGGGACATACAGACATGTGAAGATCCACATGTTCGGCTCAAAACTGCAATATTCCCGCATCTGGAAATCTCATGTTTTTTGTCTTTGGTAGCGATTGCTTTGTGTTTACAAGGAATGGCATCTGACCATTCTCCTGTTTGCTGCAGAAGCTCCTGGGATAAAGGTTATCTGAACGGGTCCTGGTAGCATTCTTGGTTATCCATGGCAACTTTGTGACATGCTCCCAGCAAAAGCTATTTCTTACAGTAGGCTGTGCCATTATCTGCCATTCCCTGTTTCCATAGTAAGTTCAGCTCTGTATTCCCTGCAGATATGGGGGCCATATTGCATTTGACCATTGTTCTGATATCTGTTATATAATTGGTAAATTTTAAAAAATGATACACAAACATTTGCATTATGATATACAGTTTTTTTAAAAAAAATCGCCAGTCCATCCTTCCTGTAAGAGAGAACAGGACCAGACTCCAAGTGAGGGAAAGTGAGCAAAGGGACACAATACTACGAGCAACTGGGAGAGGGATGATTCAAGAGACTATGAGGAAATGAGCAAATATTTAGGGGGGAGATTTCCAAATTACATTAGTGTTGGATGCAGTTTGGAAGAGCATTACGTGAATGTAATGAGGCACCTCTGGGACTGTGTAAAATCTATATAAATAAAAAAAAGTAATGTTCGTTTGTGGGATTATAACGCAAAAACCACTGGACGAATTGACACCAAATTTGGACACAATACACCTATCAGGCCAATGAGTGACCATCACTCATAAAAACACAGCAGAAGAGACTTAAAAAACCAAAAATTACATTACAGTGCATGTGCAAAACCACATATATTGGTAGGTTACATACCTGTGACCATCTTTCTTCGAGTGGTGCTCTGCGA